CACATAAACTTAAACCTTGTTTATTTGGCCTGCCCTATCCTTTGAGTTTGACATGCTTGCTCTACACCCTACTATCTCTTCTGAAGACTTATCTTTCTTTCTTTCTTTCTTTCTTTCATCTTTCTGTAATATGGACAGGCTGAGAATTTTCTAAATCCTTATGTTCTGGTTCCTTTTTGCTTAGCAATTCCTTGCTCAATTCATTTCTCTCTTCTTACATTTTACTATAAGCAGTCAGGAGGAACCAAGCTGCTCCTCCAACACTTCTCAGCTAAATATCCACTCTTATCAGTCACAAGTTCTACTTTCCACAAAACACTAGAACATAAATACAGTTTGGCCAAGTTCTCTGCCAGCTGATAGCAAGGACTGCATTTTCTCCACTGTCCAGTAACATGTTCCTCATTTCTGCCTGAGACCCCCCCATCAGAATCACCCTTAACAGTCACATTTCTACCAACATTCTGCATATGATCCTTTATGTATTCTCTACAATTCCCCTGTTTCCTTTCTGAACTCTCACCACAATCTTCTTTAAAATCCCTTCATGGCAATATCAGCATTTTCTAACATGCCCTTCAAAACTCTTCCAGCCTCTACCCATCAGCCAGTTTCAAAGCTACCACCACATTTGTAGGCATTTGTTATAGCAGTGCCCCACTCTCAGTACCAAGAGAGTGCTGTCTTAGTCACCTCCTAATAGCATTACACTGGGATCAGGGTCTAAACATGCATACTTGGTAGGGGACACACACATTCAGTATGTAACACCACCTAAAGTCTCTCCCACTCTAATCTTCTCCATAAACACTTGTCTCTTATGTCACATATCTTACTTACTTGAAAGGGAAGGATTTTTGTCTTATTTTATTCACTGTATTATCCCTAGAGCATACAGCTGAAGTCAAAATATGGTTGTTAAGTAAATGAATAAGTGAATATTGGACTAGCAGTCAGGTGATGTATGCTATGCTACCAACTCCCATTAACAAGTGGTGGGTTTTTGAGAATGAATTTAATCTCTCTGGATATTAACTGTTTTCATCTATAAAGTAAGAGTGCTAAGAAATCATAAGGTTAGAGAATTCTATGATTAAAGATATGGTACATAATCAGAGAATCACAATTACGGCTACACAATAATCATACAACTGTAACCTCCCCTCCTCCCCTGATTGTTAGTCAAATAAGAGTACCTATTTAGCATATACATACCATATGCAGAAATTTTCAATCATACCTGAGAAGTTAACTTGAGAATGTAACTCTGAGACTCATTCGATTCTGAACTGTCAGAGCCTCGGCTACTACAAAAAAATAATAAATTATTATTTTAATTTACAGAATGTTTTGGTGCCATTTTAAAATTGCAACAGTTACTTTTGCTTTATTACTTTACTGGAATGGTTGAAATAGTTCTAATTCTGAGAAAAATGTTTACAAAGGTGGTATATATGTTTGGTAGTTCTAGGCATCTTAGGGTATCAGAAGAATGACTGAAATTGATTGGAACAAAACAAATATAAACAAATCCCTGAATTCAAAATGATACTTTATACCTGCAAATAAACTTATTAGTCACCACTGGAGGTTACAGGGGCACTAACTCAAAGTCTGAAAATTTATAAATAAAGGGGAAGAATCAAATATTTATTCTGCCTTTTCTATAGGACCTATACTAACATTAGTACCTCTTTTCTTCCAAAAACTTTCCCTTAGCACTAAATTTTGTACTTATTGTTCACTAATGTATTTATGTGACATCTTTTTAAATGTGTCGGTTCTCTGTGGGTAATTACAGCATTAAAAAATTTGAGTATGTCTTTTATGTGTAGTACATAGGCGCTCATTTAATATTACTTGACTAAATGAATAAGTAAAGTCTTGATGAGATCTGGCCAAAGTAATGTGCATGGGAAAATTTTTTTCCACCTTTAGTCAGTATTTTTAGTTGAGACCGACAATTATATCCTAGAAATATTATAAGTAACACAGTAAAACAGCACACCAAATTACATTACTTCCACCATCTTGACTTACCTAGACTCCACTGTAATTTCTTTCAAAGAAGTATCTGAATCATCAAGGACTTTTTCCAAGTTTATATGTTTTTGCATTTCTTCTAATTCTTTTAGGCACTGATAATACTAGGGGAAAATAAATGAGTTAGTAATAAAATAACTTTATTTCCTAATTAAATTAATTGAATATTTATAGACTCCTGGAACAAAAGCTACTGGGACATCAACTATCAAAACACCCTGAACACTGTTGTTAGGAAATTAAAAGGAATAAACTGTCATAGTCTCATAGGCAGGTTATGTTAGCTGGTAGACTGGAGTATTACCAAATGGACTTTACTTACCTTAGTTCGGTCTGGATCACAATAGTCCAAGAGAGAATCACAAAAATGATACCCCATTGACTCCAAATCTTTTGTGTTGAAATGAGTGCCTCGTTTATCACCTAAAACATCAATAAGTTAATCTACCCTTGAGGATGACTTAATTTTTCCTTAGCAGGTAGGCCTAAGTTATAAAACAAAGCATAAACAGAACATCTGATATGATTTCATATCCTGTCCTTTGGATTTTCTTTTCTGGGGCAGGTCATTTAACAGCTAATTGCTTTCCTTCATTCCCCCTCCACCATCTGGACCAAAGGTGATGTAACATGGATCAGTCTATGTTGTAAGGCAGAATAAAATTCAATAAGAAAGTTATGGAATACTTGGTTACCAGTGATAAACAACCTAATAATCACGTAAAGAAAAAGTTGGGTAATGATTTCAATGTTTTCATCATCATATTTTATCAGATTCAAGATGCTTTAAAAATTAGTAAAAAATTATGTGTAGATGCCCAGCTTTCTTTTGAATTGATACATTTTCTAAAAATGTGACAATTATCTTAATATGGAGTATTGTAAGGACATGATAGATGTGACTAAAAGATTTCTTAAATGGAACTACATTTATTTTTAGATCAAGGAACCAAGTGCTTCCATTAAGATATAAATTGACCAAAAAACAACAAACAAACCAATTAAAAAAACATCAGTTTATTTGCCTTACAAATAGTAAATCCACTAGAAACAGTTCTATCCTGATATTTTAAGTATGAGCATTGCTTTTTCTGAAATCATTAGTCACCTGTAAAAACCACCACCACCACCAAGCAATTAAGAATTCATGAAAAACCAATTAGGTATTCTATCTGCAAGCTAAAACTTCCTATTCTTACAAAGGGAAATGAGAAATAGAGGTACATATACAGTGGTAATTTGTTTATTCATCCCATTAATAGAATTGATTAGATATCAGTAGGCATTAAGTGGGAAGAAAGTGCTCACTACTAAACTATCTACACTATTAATCTTACATTAAAAATGTCTCTGGTTTAAAACTCCAAGAGCTATGAATGAGAACACTTGGTCTTACCCAGAGTAGATCCACAAAAAGTAGCCTCCATGGTAAAGCTGTTCCTGATTCCCATTTTCCACATCACCACCCTGCCTGTTCCTTCTTTGCTCCTCTGAACATTAAACTTGCAAGCTGAGAATGAAAACTGGAAAGAAGCAAATGAACAAGACCCATCTTTTTTTTATGACAACAATGTCTTTCTTAGGAAGTAGAGTTGAAAATGGAAAAGCAATTGTGCAAAAGCAGTAATTCTCTCTAATACTTCAGGAGCTGCTTTTATTTCCTGACCAATGGAAATAAATCATATGTAATTCAAATATAGAAATGACATATGTATATTTCTAAGGGCTACAGATTTAAATTCTAGCAATAAATGTTACTTTTTAGCTATACATAGCATAAACATTCAAAATCAGTTGAATAATTCTTGATACTGATGGGTTAAGATCTTATACGACTAAAAATTATAGAAGGGGCTTAAACATATTTAGGAATGAAGATTAATGTTATAGATTTTCAGAATAGAATAAAGATGCTTTATTTTCATGTGGAAGAGCATTTGAAAGCTGCCTGAAAAACTGTTATATCTACAAAGTTTTTGTCATTTTATTTTTAAATTAACATATAATAAATGACTTTTTTGTGTTCCATTCTATTAATTTTTAACATATGTGTAGATTTGTGTAACCAGTACCATGATCAGCATAGAAAAAACCCCATCACTTCTAAAAAACTCCTTTATGCTATCCCTTTGCAGTTACAAGTGTTTCATTTCTTTTGGAGTTACAGTAAATGGTATTGTTTTTAATTTTAGTTTCTAATTGTGAGTATATAGAAATTAAATTGTTTCTGTGGGTTGACTGTGTATCCTATGACATTACTAAAGTCACTTGTTTTTTAAGGATTGCTTTGAATTTTCTATGAAGACAAATTCTTTATTACTTCTTTCTTCCCAACCTACCTGCCCTTTATTTCTTTTTCTTGCCTTATTACACTTGTTAGAACCTCCAGGAAAAGGCGAAATGAAGGGGGGGTAAGAGTGGATATCCTTGCCTATTCTTGAATTTAGGAGGAAAACATTCAGGTGTATTTTTTGTTTTTGTTTTTTTTACCATTAAGTACAGTGGCAGGATAATGGGTATTTTCTTCTTCATATTTCAAATTACCGGCTACTAAACATTCTACATAGTTGCTTTCTATGGTCAACTGTAAAACCAGGCCAAATTAATAAAAAATAAATTTACTTAATAAGATTTTTCCATTTTGCTGTCTCACGTGGACATTTGTTTAGTAAAAGTAGTTAAAATCTTAAAAAGTGCTTACTTTATCTGGACAGTTTTTGCTCATCATAAGTGGGAAAATTCGCTGCTGTAAGTACAATGCTTTATTACACTTATCACTTCCGCCACAGCCATACATGAAGATGTTCTCTTTCCTGCTATGGCCATGAAGGTCACAGTATAAAATAACCTCTCGTTTCTCCATCAATCTACCGAGAAGAAAAAGGTAAGTTACTAAATATTACCTTTGCATTTCTCTTTCATGGGTGTAACATCCAAATAAATAGAATTACCTATATACTAGCCTTCAATTTCTCTTAGCTATACTGCTTATTATTAGTGTAACATCCAAATAAATAGAATTACCAATATACTAGCTTTCAATTTCTCTTAGCTATACTGCATATTATTAATATACAATTTTAAATAAAACAATTTTCCATTAACCATATATAAAATATAAATGCCTTCCATTACAAAAGGACAAAATTTACCGTACTCCCAACCCTTTTTCCAACAGGATTTGGTATGTAATTCTGATTTTTTGTTGTACACAGAAAACAGTTCTCTGCCATCTTTCTCCATGAACTCTCACATAGATATTTCTGACAGGAATACCTTCTTTCTTCATCTTTGTAAATGCAAATACTACCTACCCCTCACCCCCAAGACTGACCTCATGTCTCATTTCCTCTCTAACTAGTCAAGGCTATAGAGCTGTCCTTTTTCTGAACTCCTGTAGCACTTAATATTGGTACTATTTACTTGGCACCTGCAGAGGAAAGTTTTCATATTTTTTATATTTAATCTTGTTAAGGGCAGGGAATGCTTTAAGTCATCCAGAACAGTGCTATGCACACAAATACCCAACATATTTGTTAAAAATTGAGTGCCTTATGACTTGGTGCTGAAGCCAATTAATTAATCCTTGATTAATGTGGTAAATATCATTCTGAGAAAAATGGTCCTAAAGTTTGAATTGACTTTTTTTCTGGTAAATTTAAATAAATAATTTAACAAATTATTAGATATTATTAAGAGAATAATCCTTAGCTTGTATAATTTAGACATTCAATAAATATTAAAGTAATAAAAAATAAGCCCGCCCTCCCTCCCCCCTGGATTGATGGCTTTCAAAAGGGAAAAAAGTGGTGGTTTTGAAGGTGGTAGAATTATGGGCATTTTGGCCTTTCCATAAACATCAATGATGAGAATCACTGATCAGCTGTTTCCTGCACACCACACACTGGGGATTGAGACTGCAACCGGGTATGTTCCCTGACCGAGAATCCGAGCTGTGACCTGGTTCATAGGTCAACGCTCAACCACTGAGCCATCCGCTGGGCTGCCTTCTTTCCATAATTCTAAACTTTATACAACATTATTATATTCCTTAAGTAATAAAAATTTCATATATTATTTGTTATATCTTGAAGGATAAATACCAAAAGGTTAGTAATGGTCTTTATAGTAGTATGAAATGTTTTACAGGAGTCTCCCCCTTAACTGCAGGGGATATTTTCCAAGACCCCAGTGGATGCCTGAAACCTCGGATAGTACCACCCCTACATGTACTATGTGTTTTTCTCTATATGCATACACTTTAGGGCATCTCTTTGGCATATTCAAATCGCCAGCATCACTACTCTTGTGCTTTGGGGCCACTATTAAAATAAGAGTGACGTGAACACAAGCACTAGATACCACCACAGTCAATGTGATAGTGAAATGGCTACTAAGTGAATAACAGGAGTGTAATATATATAGCATGGATACGCTGGACAAAGAGGTCATTTATGTCCCAGATGGTACAAGGCGAGATTTCATCATGCTACGCAGAATGGTGTGCAATTTAAGACTTATGAATTATTTATTTCTGAAACTTTTCCATTTAATACTTTCAGACTGCAGCTGACTATGGGAAACAAACTATGTAAGTGAAATTTCAGATGGTAGACTACTGTACTTTTATAACAAAAATATTAAAACCTAAGGCCAAAACTTTCAAAGCATAGCTTGAATTAGAAACAATATCCTTTAAACTATAGTGAAATTTCGTATTGAAGTCAGTTACAGGTATTAACTTATTGCCCCTTTCTCATTTGGTGCCCAATAAATTCAAATTAATAACAGATCAACATAAAGTCACTGAACAACATTTCAAGTTTTTAGAGAACTAGATTATAAAACAAGATTATCATGTGAGATCCTTAAATATGAAATATACTGTACATTTTTAAACCAACATTTTCTCAATTTTAGTGGTCTGTTTCTTGTGAGTCAAAAGAAACCTTTACTTCTAAATAATTAATTCCCAAAGAAATGTTATTACTTCTGAAGTAGAACACGATTTTAGGGTCTCTCATCTTATATTTGTTTAAATCATTTTAGAAACAGTTTGACTATTTCTTACTCACAGGTATTTTAATACCCTATACTAAAACCTACTCTCTATAATTCTCATATTTTTTTAACAACTTTTTTCTTTTTTTTTATATTTAGGAAACACTGAATACTTTTAAAGCTTTCAACGTTCCAGATTTTATCTGGGTACTTTAGTAACAATAACTTCATTTAATCCTCCCATCTATGAGGTAAGTATTATTGTTCACATTGTATAGATGATAAAATTGAGGTTTAGATTTGTTTTTAAATCCTCACCTGAGGATATTTTTCCATTTATTTTTTTATAGAGAGTAAAAGAGAAGGGAAAGACAGAGAGAAATAGTGATGAGAGAAAAACACATCTATTAGTTGCCTCCTACATACGTCCTGACCACGGCTGAAACTGGGGAGGAGCCTGCAACTGAGCTACATGCCCTTGATAGGAATCGAACCCAGGACCCTTTGGTCTGCAGGCCGATGCTCTATCCACTGAGCCAAACTTGCTAGGGCTAAATTTGTTTTTAAATTGCTCAAGGTTACACAGTTAGCAAATGATATAATGGGGATTCCAATTTGATATGTTTATCTCCAGTTCTATACACTTAATCTAATCATTCAACAAAAATTTTAAATATTATGTGCATTTTACTGTTCTGAATTCCTTGAAAAATTTAAAGTTGTTCTATTTTTCTAGGGGCAAATAAGGATATTATTTATGAAAATTTTAAATAACTAACCTGTTAATCAAAAGACTCATCATAGAGCAATATATGATCAACATTAGTGCCAGAAGGCTCTATGAGTTGTAATTAATTTTCACATATAAGGGATTCAAGGATCCCAAGGTAAACATAGGTCCTATCATCAGCTTTACCAAGAAATCAAATTTGGGATATGCAAACTGCCGGGAGCCGGTCCAAGGTCACCTCTCCGAGAAAGGTTGTTTCCCCAGGTAGGGATTTTCCCCTGAAGTTAGGGAGGGAATAAAACCTCTTAACTGCCAGGCGGGTAATTAATCACTTTAACTACGAACAATCATCCTTAAGCTACATAATCTTTACTCCCTGGAATGGAGATAAGAAACGCCCTAACCTTTGGAATAGAGATTGATAGGATTAGAATCAACTGGTATAAATACAGATGCAACAAGACAACAGAAGGCAGACCTCAGAAGGCAGACCTCAGAAGACAGACCTTAGAACACAGAACTTAGCAGACAGGACCTACACAGAACCTAGAACTTCACTGGAGAGAACATGGCAAAAGATCCTGGACTGAACCTGACTACAGAAATTGGCAAGAGAACCCGGCTACAGAACCTGGCGACCGAACCTGGCTGGAGAACCTAGCGAGAGAACATGGCCACAGAACCTGGCTGGCTGGAGATCCTAACCAGAACTTTGCTGGAGATCCTGACCAGAACTTGGCTAGAGGAACCTGGCTATGATGATCACCCGAACGCTGCCTCCGTGTCATTCCTTCTTCGCCGACTCCGTCCGCACCTATGGGGAACCCCTGGACCTGCTGGGTTTGGACCCCGGCAGCAAACTATTAGTTTCATGGAGCCATTATAATGTCTTAGAGTCGGTATTATTATTTAATGAAAGGTTAGTGAATCCAGAGGCACATTGCCAGAAAGCTATAGGAGCAGAGTTAGGAAGAATGGGGGGAAAATTAAGTAGGTATAGTCAAACTATCTTAAGAAAATGGAGAGTAACATGAGTGGGATTGTGGGACCAAAATTCTTACTCCCATGTTTACTAAATAAGCAGAGCGGTGATTTGAGGCTTATTTACCTGTGGATCATGTTCCGGGTATACCAAACAGAAGGGAACAATTCCTTCAGGAGAGAGGTGTAGTTACGGTTTAAATCTCGTCCAGCTAAGGAACACCGGTAATTTCCTACAATCACACCATCGGGATTCAGCATGGGTATCACCTTGAAGATGAAAGTGTCCCGAAGCAACTGTGCATCACGTGAGTCTCCTAAAATAAAATCTAGGAAGCCTTTCATGATCCATGAGCTGTTGGTTTCTCCTGGATGTACCCTTGCAGTCAAAATCACCGCCTTTCGTTTTCTTGAGTCAGCATTCTTCAAGGGGGTAGTGATCGTTAAAATGTACACCATATTCCTAGCAATTGTGTGGCACAAGACACGTACTTTACAAAACTTCGACCGTACTGGGTCATTATTGATGTTAGAAAGGTATTCTTGCAGGTTGGTATAAGTGTACGGATAGCAGTGAGCAAAGTAGCAGGTATCGTTGCTGTGTGGAAACTGAAATGTCCACGTAAGGGAGAAATAATGGCGCCCATCTTGCCCGGGGTTGTTCCTGTAATACTTGATTTGCTCTCCAATTCTCTGCCAGCCAATATTATGAGTCTTGGCCTCTTTTTCAGAATAAAACAGTGGGCGCATACCCCGGTTGTAAAGACTAGCAGGCTTGGTAAAATTGATAATAGTGAATCTGTAGACTATTCCTGCTTGGGTATTAGTGACTTGGAAATAGTACCACTGGGTGTGTTTATTTGTGAAGAGGTCAGGGCGCACAGTCAACTGGTATTCATATTCTGCCCTAATACATAAGAAAGGAAGGGGAAAAGCATAAAAATGTAAAAATGACATTTGGTTTTAAATAAATAAGGAAAATTATTTTTACCTATTCACAGAAAGGTTTTTTGGGGGGTTGGGGAAGGGGTGCGGGGTTGGACAATGTTTATTTAGGCAGTATCATAAATAGCAAGTAATTGCAAAAGATAAAAGTTTTGAAATTTCCTTTTATTGGATGTGAAACTGTTTCTATGCTTTATTTTAAAGCCTTTTTATTATTACTGAAGAGAGCACATAAAAATGAGATTTGATAAAAATTATATTTTCACTCCAATTATGTTTCCTATAAAAATGATTAAAGAGTTCTTAAACTGAGTTAAAGTCCAATATTTCTTTTTTACTTCAGATATGTATTTCTGTTTTCTATTAGATTCTAATTCTAGGGATCTGATATAACTATTACTGAGAACATTTAAAAATAAATAGACATTAATATGACCACACAGATTATAAAATTGTAAATACTTTGAGGATGATATATGATCACTATTTGTATCTCCCATACTGAGTCATTGAGAATACTTATATAAAGGCTAAAATAACTTTACTGTGTATTATTTATAATATGTACATACATCAAACTTACTTGGTTAGTTGTGACTTTTTTCTTTACCAAGTAATTTCTGTTCCTCAGCCCCATGCGCTGTGTGTGTGTGTGTGTGTGTGTGTGTGTGTATGTGAGAAAGAATTCACACTGGCATACTGAAAATGCAGAAATATGCTTACTTTAAGCATAAATATCAAAATTATTTGAACCTTTCAGATCTCTAATTACCATCTATACTTCAAGGAGTTAAGTTCAGTGATGGATACTAAGATTTTAACGTACCAAATACAGAAACTAATAAATAGTTGATGGTCTAGTTCCTCAAATAAACATAATTAAAACCTACACTTTGACTACCTTCTGTAGATTACCACTCTCAAACCTTGCTTCAAACATCAAAGTGTTGTCACAATTATCCACAGGCTGCTTCAGGGCTGTTCGGTTGCCCCCAACTCGAGAATATACAAAGCACGGCTCTTTGTAAGCTGATGAGAGAAATAGGCCATAAGGATATCAAGCCATGTCTAAAGTATAGGCTATTCTGCATAGAGCTTGCAGCCACAGTATAAGTGAAGTGGCACTAAGAATTTTAATTTGTAAAGTAATTTGGTACCAGTAATAGATTTATGTTGAAGCAAGAAAATCTAAGAGTCCTTGACAAGAAAAGCAAAGCCTAAAATAGATTCATGTGCTACTTACATTAAGAATACTCATTCCGCTTCTGCCCCCCAACTGCCCTCCCCTGCCAGCCCGATGGCTCCCAACTGCCCTCCAATCCTGGTCTGATCACCCCCAACTGCCCTGCCCTGCAGGCCTGGTCGCCCCCAACTGCCCTCCCCTGCCAGCCACCTCGTGGTGACTATCTTGTGGTGGCCATCTTGTGATGTCACACGAGGGTGTCGTGCGACGCCACCTAGGCTTTTATTATATAGGATAATTGATTCTGAACTTGACCTTTCACTATAAATGACTATTAAACTGCATAAGAAATATAAGCTGAACTTCTTTTCATATTTTTGGATAATACATAGACCAGAACTACATAGGATTCTTGAAAAAAATATAAATACACCAAATAAGCCCATGCTTAACCCTGGTTTTCTTCCTGTGAGTACTTTCTAACCATACCTCAGGAAGGAGGCACTTATGAATAGTGTAACAGTCTTGCTGGACTGAGGAGGCAAGATGTTGCTCGGGGCTGCTGGAATTTGTGAGGCAGGGCACGAGAGAGAAGACAGCTACATAAAGAGGGTCTCAACAGTCTATATGGTTTTCCCCCAGTCCTTTGCTGAGGGCTTGGCTGTGTAAGCAGAGGATGAGAGTAAGTAAGGTAGCAAAGAGTGCTATTAGGGGGTAAGATAATAGAGGATATACAATTATAGAATATACTGGAATTACAACATATCCAGAGTGGAAAGATTGCACTAAGCTCCTCAGACATTTCATCATGACTCTAGAAAGGCTGCACATCAGGCATAAGAACCGCATCTAAAAAAAAAAAAAAGAACTGCATCTAAGAGTAAAGGCCATGACCTAGTACTAAGGACAAAATGAAAATAAATCAGCCCTACTAAATAAATAAATAAATAAATAAATAAATGAATGAATGAATGAATAAAACAAGCCTGAATGATATATAATCAATGATATATAACCAGCAATTTAGCTGCCTACCAGAACAAAATTCAACATAAGTTTTAAAAACAATATAGACTCCTACAACATATCTTTCACAATGTCTTGCATATGATAAAAAAATTATGAAACATGCAGAGAAGCAGGAAAATATGATCCATCATGAAACACACACACACACACACACACACACACACACACACCCCTCAAGATAACTTAGATGGGATTTACAAACGGCTCAGAAAACATGTTTAAAGGCTTAAAGGAAAAGATAAGAGATAATAAAGAAGCAGATTAATATAAATGGAAACTATTAAAAAAATCAAATGGAAATTCTAGAAGTAAAAAGTGCAATAACTGAAATGAAAGATTTACTGGAATCCTTGACTGGAATCCTTCAGTGTGCGGGCTGGTGCTCTATAGAGTAAGCTTAAAAGACATACTGAAGATTGCGGACGAAAGACTGTGAACTTAAAAACAAAAACTCAAGGACAGAGGAGGACAAAAATATCAACAAAGATCCAGGGACATGTAGGACACAGCTAGAAATCCAACATATATGTAACTGGAATTCCAAAGGGCAGAAAAGAAAGAATAGTATAGAAAAATATAAAGAAATAATGGTTGGACATTTCTCAAATGGGGTAGGGGAAAGCACTCTATTAATCAATGGATCCAATAAGATCAGGAAACTCCAAGCAGAATAAATATAAAGATAACCAAATATAGGCCAAGCTTAGATTTGCTGAAAAAACAGCCAGAGACAAAAAGACACACCATAAATAGGGAACAATGATATAAATTATGGCTGACTTTTATTAAAGACAGCAGATGTCACAAGACATTGGAACATATATTTAAAGAAATAAATCTTTGAAAGAAAGGTTGTCCACCAGAATTCTATATAGCCAGTTGTTTGGGGACTTCCCCATCCAACAGCTACATGTCTAAAAACCATCTATCAGTCTACCCTTTGAGGCCAAGGAAATATAATGGTTCTGCTCTGTTGATAGTCTTATGTTGCTTCACCATCCCTTGCTCGTTTCCCTTACCTCTGTCCATTCTAAGTTATACTTATACTGAACTAATACAAATTACTCCAAGTATGCCATCCAATTCCCAACAAGACCCTGACTATTTCAATTTTTTATCAGATCTCATTTAAGTTATGTGTAGAAGTTCTACTACTAGCCATGCAAATATTTGAAAATTTAGCCATAAGAATATTTAAAATCAAATTAGAAAAATCAGAGGTGCTTCTCTCACTCCAGCTGTTAAAAAATATGTGAGTAAATGATTTCTAGAATTGCTTACTCTACAGGAAACAATCCCTGTGAATTTATCTGTTTTGCCAGCCCTTTAAATAAAATACGTATGTTCCCTGGAAGGTATCTAACATCTACTGTAAGACATAGAACTCTGATGGTGACATTGTGCAGGAGTCCCATACTTCCTCATGTTGGTGTATCAGCAGTAGCACAGTTTAGGATATAGGCTGAGATGTCTATGTTTGATTATCAGCATATCCTATCATAAAGCAGATATAAGATTTTGATTACTAGAGCTCTCAAAGTACAAATATAGATCACCCTTCTGAGATATATCTTAGATGTTATTTGCAATGTGGGTGTGTTCCTCTTTTAAAGATAGGATTCCCACCAAACTGGCATGAAATGGAAAAAAAGCAAACCCCACACATCTGAGAGATTGCATGAAAATAACCTGTCAACAGAGAGGCAACAATAGTTGTAGAGCACCCCACTGGATTTACCTTTGAAAATTGATGTGAAGCCTAATTCCTTCTAAATATGACCCCATTCTAATGACCAATATGATCTTTCATTTTAAAGTAACGTTACATGAACTGAAATACACCTTCAAGAATATAATTAGCACTAAATCAACATTTGGATCAATATTAACCAAATATATATTTTTGTTTGTTAATCATCACCCGAGGCTATTTTCCCATTGATTTTTAGAGACAGTGGAGGGGTAGAGACAGAGAGAGAAAAACATTGATGAGAGAGAGACATACTGATTGGTTGCCTCCTGGTCAGAATCGAGCCTGCAATCAAGGTACGTGCCCTTGACTGGAATCCTTCAGTGTGAGGGCTGGTGCTCTATCCACTGAGCCAAACCGGCTAGGGCTTTACCAACATTTTTATGGGGACAGGGATTTCCTGGTAATCTGCAATTTTCACTATAATCAGCAAAACAAATATAACTAAGAGGTTAGCCCAGGTACCAAATTACATTTGTATAGCAACTATTTCATTATGTACCCACCATCTTCAGCTAGATAAACTACTGTATCTTCCTTGGAGTTTGAATAAATGGGTTCGATCTCTAGGCCTGTTGGGATGTACACTGGCTCAGAATAAGGAGGAGTCGTATCTATACATATACATAAAAGAGAGAACATTATTTAAATGTGATAAAAATAAAACAGGAAATTTTTATTATACATTTTAAAGTTGTTTATTGATAGGTCTAGGCTAAAATTTAGTTTTGTAAGGGGAGAGATTTTACTAAGGATTTATTGGCAGTAATGAACATTGTCACACTGTAACATTTCACTGGCACCTTGATCTAAATCATTATAGTGAATAGTTCATGAGTATTTAGTGTCATAGATTTTATACTAAAGTTCTATTCTCTCCTGGGCACTTGATATCTTTCTGATCCGCCTCTGGGAATCTTGCTCCATCTTTTATTCTCCCTTCCCCTTCATCTTCAGCATCTTGCCTGATAATGGTTGTCTCCTAAGCTTATAAACATGTCCCAGTGTTGTAGGGAGCGGCTATAGGGTTAAGCCTCTGGCTGACCTGTTAGCAAATCCACAAACAAGTCCCAGTTTAGAGGGCACAGCCCTCTTAGCATAATTAAGCTTGACCTTATGACGCTCCCTAGATCTTATCTGGGAAGCTAATGGGCTGTGGGAGGTGCAGCAAGTGCTGCCAAAACAAGTGAAACTCACAAGAACATTGCAACTATGGTGACCACTCCCTTGTTTACCTCTGGCTATAAAATAAAGGCTCAGCTGGCCCTCTGGATCCCTCTCTGTGGTCACAGTCAGGCACAGGAGATCCACCTAGACCCAGCTTATTCTCTCTGTCTGTCTTTTCTACGTTCTTCGCCGCCCCCCATTCAAGCTCACTGAACCCTTGGCTGTGCTGGCCTGGCACAAAGTATCTTCTGTCTCCCCAAAGAAAGGCTATCCTTGGACCCCCAACTTCTTCTTTAGCTATACCAGCTTTCCTTTTCTTCATTATTTTTAGGACCAAGTTTCTTAAAAGTTGTCTGAGCCATGCTCAAATGCATGATTTATTTTTGTCTAGGATCTATTTGATTGGAGAAAATGACTTCACAGTCCAACTACCAAAATTGTTCTCACTTTTTAGCAGAACAAGAATTTGATGATGACTCACTATTCTACTCTTTTATTATTGGCTTGTATGTGTCAGACTATGCTTGGTTCTGGTAATAAATATATTCCTATAGAGGGAGTCAGCCTCTATGATCCCGAATATAGTCATTGAAACAGTAAGAAGAAAAAAACAATTTGGTGGTAATAAAGAAGTATTCCTGGACAAACATTTTGGGGATTATGTATACAACTGCTTTAGCAACGTATATATCTGACATAATTAATCAGAATCAAGTCTAGCTCCAGAGAAAGCATAGATTGAAATATTGATGTCAATGTGCGTCAGTACACTTTGTCAGTAACTGAATACACAACCAAATAAATTGATAATAAACAATAAAGAAAATTATAACTAAAACTGATCCTCTTATCAGTTGAAAACCTTAATGGATTCAAACCAAAATTAATCATGAACTGATAACACAGCATTGCTTCTGAAAACTTTGGGAATTTCTGCTACTTGCCTTGGTGTATGCTTACCATCAAAAGATACATGACAGCCTGACATCCCAGTTAAAAAAGGAGACTTTTTAATTAATGTTTATGTTCTTAATGATTTAAGAATGAGTAGTCTTTATAGTAAGAAATATGAAACTCTAACACTAAAACTAGAGAATCTACAATAGGATCAAGTTTGCAGCTTATCAAAGTATTTTTATGATAATTCTATGTTTAGCTTTCTGAAGAAGTGCCAAACTTTTCCAAAAAAGGCTGAATGATTTTATATTCCCATCATCAGAGGATTTTGATTTCTCTACATTCTTATCAACACCTGTTATCTGATTTTCATTCCAGTCATCATAGTGTGTGTTACTGTGTTATTAATTTGTATTTCCCTGATAACTAAAGGTGCTGAATATCTTTTCATGTGTTCATTGGCCATGTTTATCTTCTTTGGAGAAATGTCTAGTCAGATCATTTGCACTTTTTAAATTGAGTTGTCTTTTTTCGTGTGAGTTGTAAGAGGTCTATATAAGCCCTTCATCAGATAGCTTGCAGTTATTTTCTCCCATTCTGCCGGTTCTATTTTCATTTTCTTGATAGATTTGAAGCACAAAAGTTTTGATGAAATCCAATTGACCCATTTTTGTTGTTGTTACTTGTGCTTTTGATGTTATAGCTATGAATCCATTGTCAGATTCAATGAAAGATTTACTTCTGTTTTCTTCTAAGAGTTTGACCCATTTTTAAGTTAATTTTTCATATGGTGTGTTATTTATCTAGTTGTCCCAGCACCATTTGCTTAAAAGATTATTTTTTCTATTGAACAGAAAAAATACCCTTGTTGAAAATACATTGCCCACAAACATGGTTTATTTCTAGACTTTTGATTAGATTCATTCATCTATATTCCTATCTTCATGATAGTACAAGACCGTCTTGATTATTGTTAATTTATAGTTTTGAAATTGAAAATTATGAATCTCAAATCGTTCTTTTTCACTATTTTTTTCTATTCTAAATTCCCTGTGTTTCCATATCAATTTTAGAATCAGTTTGTCAGTTTCTACAAAGCAGATAGTATTCTGATGGAAACTGTATTGGACTGACAGATTAATTTGGGGAGAATTGCCATCATAACAATCATAAATTTTCTGATCCACAAACATGGGTGTCTTTTCATTTATTTAGATTTTAAAAATTTTCTTTCAACAATGTTTTGTAGTTTTCAGAGTATAAGTTTTACACTTTTCTTAAATTTATTCCTATATTATTCTTTTGATGTTATTGTGAATGAAACTGTTTAAGTTCATTATAGTATTATTCATTATAAATGTATAGGAATATAATGATTTTAAAAATATTTATCTTATCTTTCAACCTTGCCAAACTCATTTACTAGTTCTTATAATTGTTTTTCAGTGGGTTGCTCAGGGTTTCTATATACAAGATTATGTCATTGGTAAACAAATAGTTTCACTTCTTCCCATCTAACTAGGATGCTTTTTATTTCTTTTTCTTGCTTAATCACTGTGACTAGAAGCTCCATTACCATGTTGTATAGAAGTGGCAATACATAAGTCACTTATGACATCCATGCTACTATTGACATGTCACTTATAACACATCAATTTTCAAATGTTGATTGTGACACATCAGTTTCACATGTCCATTGTGACAAAATGTGTCAATTCTGACACATATGCCAAACCTGACACATCAATTTCAACATATTGCTTTTGACAGGTGTGTTGATCCTGACAGACATGTGTCAAATTTGAGGCATGTGTTTATTCTGACACATTGACCACTCTGACATGCACATCAATTCTGACATGTGCGCCGAGTATGACACACATGTTCACTGACACACACCAATTCTGATAAATGTTAATCATGACACATCTGTTCATTCTGACACAGGTCAATTCTGACACATATGCCACTCTGACACACATGTCAACTGATACACAATAACCAACTGACACGTTTATTCTGACACATGTTGGCATGTTCCTATTCTGGCATATACAGATTCTGACACGTTGATTCTGACACACATCCTGATTTTGACAAGTATGTTGATTCTGACATATATGTCACTTATGAAGTGTATATCAATATGACAATGCAGCTTTGTTGGCAGATGTTCATGATCTCTCAGCTGCAGCAGTTTCCAGAAGTTAGCAGTGGTCCAGCTATTAATTTCACAAGGCTGGCTCATCAAAACTAGCGGAGAGTAGGGATCCTGTTACATCAGCATTGGGTCAATATGTGGTTAGCCTATCTTTGGTCCTTAGGATTCAGAAGATTGTTTCCTTTGGTAACCAAAACCAAGGCCAGATTATTTAGTCTCCAGAAATTATCAAAGCTTCAAAGTCAGCAGTTTTCACCAGAAGAGGGTGCTGGATTTTATATAATGCTTTTTCTGTAGCTATTGAGAAGATGTACTTTTTGTTTTTTATTCTATTGATATGCTATATTAGTTTATTTCATTACATCATTTATGTTATTTGATTTTTGAATGCTAAACTAACCTTGAATTTCTGAATAAATTCTACTTGGTCATGTTGAATAATTATTTTTATGTGTTACTAGATTCAGTTGAATAGTATTTTATTGAGAAAATCTGCATCTTATATCCATAATACATATTGGTCTGTAGTTTTCTTGTGATATCTTTTTTTTTTAAATATATTTTATTGATTTTTTACAGAGAGGAAGGGAGAGGGAGAGTTAGAAACATCAATGAGAGAGAAACATCGATCAGCCGCCTCTGCACACCTCCTACTGGGGATGTGTCTGCAACCAAGGTACATGCCCTTGACCAGAATCAAACCTGGGACCTTTCAGTCGCAGGCCAACGCTCTATCCACTGAGCTAAACCGGTCAGGGCATTCTTGTGATATCTTGTTTTGGCTTTGTATACAGGGTATTACTAGTCTCTTAAAGTTTTCCCTCCTCTCCTATTTTTGGAAAAGTTTGTGAAGAACTGGTGGAAACTTTTGATAGACTGTTCCAAACATTAAGTGTTTGGTAGAATTCAGCAAAGCTATCTGAGTTTGGGCTTTTCTTTGTGGGTAGTTATTCTATTACTAATTCAATCTCTCTACTTACTATATACCTATTTATGTTTTCTATTTCCTCTTGAGTCCGTTTTAGCAGTCTTTCTTTCCAGGCATTTATCTGTTACAGCTAAATTATCTAACTCATTGACATCCTTTATTAGTCTATATCTAGTTCTCATTTAATTTGATAAGTACATACTCTTAGATTTCTGGCACAGGCTTCTCAGGACAGTTACATGTATCCTCAAATTTTAGAATATTCAAACCTTTAAGTGTTCTCAATCATGGTGATATTTGTTCTGCATTTGAGTTATCTGCCAGAAAGCTTTGCATGCTTACCAAGAATATACAAAATGTAGATATTCCTCCAAAAGGCTTCTCAGCACATTGAAAAGTGCAGTAGTGCCAAGGAGCCACTTAATTTTGTCTTAAGTGGTTGATATCAAAGATAAGTATTT